GAAAGAAACCACGCGATACTGATATAGCAAGGAAAAAAATAGACATATGAATCTCATTAAATCTCTCACTTTTTTAATGGTGAGAGGAACAATAAACTGGTGTATTCTTTTTGTCATCGTGTTGCTGATGCGGGGACCAGCGTTGTGTAAGGTGCAAAGCCGAGTGCTTTTGGGAACGGCCAAGGTGCCACTGCAACTGGCGAACATAGAGCAAATTGTCTTTTGTGGAAGGCAGTCATGTGACGAAAAAGTACCTCGATTGGGAGTACATGAAGCATTCAAATACAACATGAAAACAAACTTCAACAACTCCTAATATGAAAAAAAGATTATTCTCAACTCACTGCTTTATGACCTCTCAAAAGTGGTAATACATTTCATCGACATACGCTGCAAACAGATGACAGATATACAGAACCCCCCCCCATACTACGCAAAAAACTACAAAATAGTCATAATATATTGCGGCATAGAATCCTAACCTCTTCGCCATGGACGATGTGCACATAGTCCCGAAGGATAAGGCGCGGTTCAAAATGTCTCTGGTACATCGCTGATGTCTCGCCGAGGCGTTTATCTTCTCGATCAAGATTTTTTTCCCACTCTAGTCTGCGGGACTCCGCCTTTGGCGCACGAAACGGCTTACGATTGCTGGTGGCTGCCCTTGTTGACCGGGTAGCCCGACTTGCATCCCGGTGCGAAGCAGTGTGTGTCCGTCTTTTTTCTTGCCTTCATGACGCAACGGAACGGTAAGGACTCCCAACCACTACACCACAAAGAAAAGTGCTACGGTGCTACGTTCAGCTTCGTCTTCTTCTTCGCTCATCGCACATCTGCCATCTGCCACAAATCCTCCTAGGGCTCGGAACTCCAGCGCCACTCGTGGCATCTACGTTGACCGTCTTCACGCGGCCCATTGCACCGTGGCCCATTGTAAGCGGGCGCCGCTCTTGCCATTACATCCTCTAGAACACTGTATCAGTGCTGCGCTGTGCCGCAATGATCTTCCAAAGGGCTGCACGTTGCACGTGCCTCTTGCATCGGCGCATCTTCTGCTCAGAGACCGATCTAAATTAGGGTGCCTACATGTCTGTCTGTCTCAGGGTGAAGACATCCATTGTTGCCCTGAATGCGCCAGCGCGTGACGCTCTCGCGCACTTGGTGCGTGACTTGGGCGGTAAAATGGCGTCTGCGCATTAGCCAAAGCTACGCGCTCGTGCTGAGTGACACCGGATTGCGCGCACTTCAAAATGCATAGAAAGAACGATTGGGCGGAAAAATGGCCGAGATGTCACCACTCAAGCAAAAGCGCGCGTGTGTATGAAGGCACTCTAATCTAAATACTATAACAGCGCCACCTTTTAGCGACGAGTTGAAACATGAGAGTTGCTTTATTGGGCTACTGTTAAAGTCACTGAATGTTCCCGGAGTACCGAAACTCCCAGGCTCAAGGTGATAAGATGGCGGCTCAATCTTTTTTCTTAACTGGTTAACATGAGCTTTTAGAAAGCATGATTTTGCGTAAAAACAAACGGAAAAAGCTCTTTTTGTAGAAACTTTTATTGAAGGTTAGTACAGAGTAACAGGCGCGCGATGTTTTCTAAATTTTTAATTTTACAAGGTTTTGTGGCACAATTAATATGGTTTTTATACAACCATTTCTCACCGGTGATTTCAGGTAGCGCGCCCCGTCCTGGGCGCGTCCCAATTTCGGTAGTAATTCGCGGCGCGTCCGCTTGGGAAATGGGGGTGGCATCTTGAAATCCGTTACACCGTATATGTTTCGGCGGCATAATGGCCGATTAAAACAGAAATAGAACAGTAATAGTGGACGCTATCGAATGCGATACTCTTGAACCAAAACAAGCAGCCGTGCAGTTCCCCGAGTGGCCGCTGCGGGAGAAATGACGGCGTTGCGATCGCCATTTGCTCGGTTCCCGAGTCCGGATCGGTAGCACTTTTTCCGAGCAGACTCTACGCCAGTTTGTCAACTGAGTTGTTCTCGTGACGTTGCTGGTGGTGACTGATGCCAGTGGATCCTGGTAAAGTAGCGCCAAGCTGCCCGTATGGTCGCCGTTTTGTTTCGTGGAATGAGCAGTTTCTCCTTGACCTCTCCGTTCTTGGTGATTCCATCTAAATTCGCTGCAACGGGTAGCTTTATAAAAGCGTTTCTTGAATACCGTGGTTCTGTTACTCACACACCTGCAGAACAAGCGCAGATCTTCGCACCGCCATTACTTGCGGAGCCGGTGCTGGGCGACAATAAAAATTAAATTTCCTGTCTTTCGGCAAAAACAACAGTATCATTGTAAGAGATTCGTAAAGATAAGCATGATTGATAAATGACTTGCATGCACAGCGCCAAAGACGCCTATATTGGCGAGGAACTCTAACAGTAGAAAGACACTCCACATCGATCTTGGTGCGACCGGTTCAGAACGCCCTTTTCGAAACTTCGAAGATTTGAATGGACCGAAATGGTGATCGGCCATTGTCAACTGAGGCCAATCAAACAATCGCCTTGCGAGGTTTGGTTTTATGTATGTTGTTAGCATCTGTTTTTGTCCGGCTAGCAGACAGGGAAGGGCAATGGCGCCACTTTCCCAGGATCCATTGACTTTAGTGGTGACCGCTAAAGACGATCGTGTAGTCGTCAGCTTAGCTCAAACAGATGGAACTGAGCTCGAACACGTTCGTCCTTCTGCGAGCTGTCCATGCCTCTTCGGCCTGCCATACTGTAAGAAACAGTTAAATAGTCACCGCGTCATCGGATTACCACAGAAACCACCGACAAGAAGGAATTATGCCGCCACAGCGCTTTTATGCAATAAAGCCTCTAGTAACCTGCTTTCAAAAAAATACGGGGCTGACAGCCGTCAAATTCGGGTGTTCACACTAAAGGAGGCTTCACCACGTTTATGTTATAAACATTAGTCTTAAAGGGGCACTGCAAAGGGACGAAGAAAACCAAATGCCGCTTCGAAGGGCGTGCTTATCAGTGTCAAACACGAGCGTTCAGTGACGATATTGGCTATAACTAGTGCCACTAAATAAGCTACGCTTCAGAGTAACGACACTTGGCCATATTGTGGCTTAAATTCATAGTTGCCAGTTATCTGAAGCTTTATCAGAAATCACAGGTAATGCTTTTCCGTCCTCCAAAAATGTTTAAACATACCGCGACAGAGAAAAGCAATATTACATGAGCTTCCTAACACCAAATCGAACGCTGAGGAAGTCGCGCTTTTGAATCATGACGATCTGCAGTTGCGTCTGCTCTGCACAAGCCCCAATATGGCGGCGCCCACAACAATGTCGGGGAACGCAGTGCCGGTACTCTAAGCGCAGCTCATACAGTGGCTCTAGCTATAACGTCAGATAATGACAACATAAAATTCTAGAGGTATAGGACTGGTTGAATAGGTGCGCGTGACTCCTTCTGATTCTTTGAAGCGCCTGACTCTCACACAATTTTTTTTTTTTGCTTCGAACACCTGTAGATCTATGGGGCGTTCACATCTTCATAACTGGATATTAATTCCAACAATTACAAAGATCGCACATGGTTAAGATATCATCAACAATAGGAAATGTTCTCAAAATTATGAACTTTTTTCACCTATTATGCTCAAAATACATCAGATTCCTTCTTTGTTTTATTTTTAATGTTTGCTAGAGTCCCACTCACTAGTTTCAGCGAACGCGATGCAAATTAAAAATAAAATGGCCAGAAACGCTTATCAGGGCTCCTTTAAAACATCGCGCCTTACACGATTTTGTTTTTCCTTCTAGTATTCTTCCATATCCCATTCTGTGCGAATGAATATAAATGGGCTTATCATATTTGCTGTGTACGGTTGTTCAACTCCTTTCGGTGAAAAAAATTGGAGTGTAAAGAAGTATTTCTTCATTGTTTATTATCCTTAAGGTCCCGTACGGACAATATACGAGACAGTGGAAAGCATAGATATAAAATATTAAAGAAACAATAAACGCTCCAGCATGACCCTGGTGAAAAAAAGTTTGAGCTGTTCAATAAACATACAACAACATATAAAATGACATAAGAAGATTTATTACATTCGGTAGAAGCTTTCAACGTGTTTCTTTTTCAATTCATGGAATATTTTTATATAATCAGTAATGAAATAGAAATACCTCTAGTCACAAACACACTGTAAGCTGTAGTTATGCAGGTTATATAAGAATGGCGTAGTAGCTGCCGCAAATATTATGAGGGTCACTTATTGTAACATCGTGGTCAGGAAATAAATTTCAGTGGTCAATACCCAATGGTAATGCAGACGTTAGGTGAAAGGTGGTACAAGTGAGCTTAATTTAAGTGAATGCTGAAAACTACTAGCAATAATACGGAGAGATGTTGATGGCAGATATTATCTGGTTTGAAACTGTTGCGATAAAAGATTGCGGGGAGAGAAAGAGAGAAAGAGCGCCATGAGACGCTCTGCGGCGGAGAGAAAGTGACTGAAGGGTTAGGTGGTCTGTCCTAAATAGGACATCCTGGTATATCTAGTGACTGCAAATGCACAAAACAAAGTGCTCTGAACGGATTCCACATTCTTACCTACGTATGTCTGCTATATTCATCCAAAAATCTTCCTATCTTGCGTGACTCATCCCGCAAAATGTAACTGACCTAAAAAAATTTAGAAAATTGCCGGAAATTTATTAAACACAGTGGATAGATCAAGGAAAAAAAGGGGAAAAAATCAAGTGCCGCTTATAGATGTAAGTGTAACGCAAACCATTCTAAGTAAGGTGTTTCAGTAGATAAATCCGGTAACTTCTGTAACGATACCCGATGCCTCGCAACGATCATCCGAAACTTGACAATGACTACGTAAGAACCGAAAAACGGGCACCCAGGGACAGGCTGTCCCCGTTCCTAGGGACACGGAGTACCCGTCCCGCCCCGCGTTCCCCGTCGCTTCCCTACTTTCCCCGACGGCCGCTCAGCGTCGCCCGGACCCGTTCGGCGCCCCCTCCGCCTCCTCCGGAGAGAAAGCCTTGTGGCCCGTCGGCAGTCGCGCGGTCGTCCCTTCTCGACGCGGGAGCTTCGGTGGGCGTCGCTGCGCCACCACCCGCACCGGAACCGACCACACCGCGGGGCATGGCGACCTCGTCGAGCCTGGCCAAGCCGGCGCTACGAAGGCAACTCGTAGGCTAGAAAATGGGTCTGGTGAGCCCGGGCCGCAAGTCGCGGCCGCCGCTACTCATGTTGTTGTTGGCCGCGCTGGTGGTGGATCGGACGTTGGCGGCGCCTTCGACGGACTCCCTCGTCTCCGACACGGCAGCTCTGGTGAGTGTCTGTGTGCTTTGATGAAGAGCTCGGCCACGTGCGCTCGGGCTGCACGCGTCGGCGGTTTTGTTGTTGCTGTTGGGGCTTCTTGGCCGCTCGGCGCGGCGCGCGTTCTCTCCCCGTGCGCGTGTGTTTCTCTGGAGCCGTGCGTGATGTCGTGCTGCTTCCGAAGGCAGACTATGACCGCGTTCGGGAGCTTTATTGCAGCCAAGGATATAACTCTTACTTGACAAAAGCAAAACCTAACAAAAAAGAAAATAGACGAGCGTGAGTTCGAAGGTGTCGTAAACACAGCTCCTGCTGCTCGGAGCACGAGTATTCTGGGTAATTATATGGTGAATCATTTATCCGGAAAAGAATATTTCGGCAACGTTGCTCGTAGATATATATCGAAATCGAACTGTATATAGGTCTTAGTAGACACGCAGACAGACGGTTATGGTTCTCGGGATCTTTCTTAACAGGTTGAAGAAACATTTGATTGGGCACAGAGACAAACCATACGTGTTGCACATGCATCCGTTCCGCATTCTTCGGTAGACACGTATACGGACGGTTATCGTTCGCAATCTTTTTTCTACAGATTCACAAAAAAGCACCATGTTTTTTCTGCCATGAAGGAAATCGTATGTTGCACGCATTCCCTCTCGTTCCGCGCCCCTAACATACACACATAATAATCAAAACGGGCAACATTGTTCTAGCTTATCGGTAGGATGTAAACACGCCCTTTCGCTCTCTGTCAACGGCCGCAAGCTCGTGCTCGCTCGTGGCTCACCGAAGCTCAAGAAAAAGCAAACGTGAGAAACTCTCGCCTCAAATCGCCTCAAAGTACTATGGCGACGGTCGCGGAAAACCCTCGCGCTAAATCCTCGTGACTATCGTTTTCATAAAAAAAAAAAGGTGGGGTTTCGTGCTGTCCGTTTATTAAGCAAGTGCGACGCCACTCACTTAAAAAACACCATGGCGATTGCCAAATGAACTTGCAGCTTCTGCGACTGTTGCGGGCGGCTGCACCCACATCTTGTTTGTTCTCTTACATAACACAAGACGAGTGGTGCTTGCCTTCCTGCCGTACATAAAAGACAAGCGCGCTTTCTATCGTACGCTTTTTCGTTGGGAGACGCTGCCCCTAACGACTGGAGCACGCCGCGAAGCCTTGGCCCCCTCCATGACGGATGTCCGGGCTCAGCGCATTGGTGTGACGACAAGGGCACTCTGTTGCTAAACACTGGCTCGGGACCCGATAAGCCGCGCTTCAATTGAACGCCCCGCTGATACGGGGCCTGCTATCTCCACTGAATGGGGGCTGCTTCTAGGCGTGCGTCGTTCACTGCCTCAAGAGCGGCCTATCGCAACGGGCGCCATTCGTTAACCACCGCGTGAAGAAGCACGATCTTGTTTGCGGAAAGGTCGATGGCTTTCTCAAGCCTAAGACATCGCCAGATCAGTGGTCGTGACAGGACATTGTTTGGAGTCTGTTTAAACTCGACACGTCTTCGAGCGTTGCAAGCTAGCGCCTGGCTCGTGTGTGGGCGAGTTTCTTTGCGCCGAGAAAGTCGAAACAGCAAAACGGTGTAGGACAACTTCAGTCTTGTTTAAGGTACCTCAGTTGTGAGTGCTTGGCGTATACCTATTCATTTCTTACGTCTTTCGCGAATTTTGTCTTTATGTCGAACGCATTTCAGTGACAAATTACGCGCGCCTATTGGACATCAAAGGTGCCGTGTCCATCGTGAACGGTCCAACGTCAAGGATAACATATGTCGCGGTATTGCGTTCGCCTAATGGACGTTACGCATGCCACTTGTGTCGATCAGTTTCTAGCGACGCGTCAGGCGTATTCTTAACGAGTGCTAGTACGGGTAAGCACGTCGTTTCACGCTTGGACTGACTAATGAACGACTCCGTTTACTGCCTGTTAGATAGACGTGACTGCACTCTCCTTGGACGACAGTGAACTTTCATATCTGTTCTACGGACTATGCGTTAGGCAAGAAACAACTCCCGTTCCCTTACGTCCGTGATAAGTGAACGTGCACGTAAATCTAATGAAACTGGTCAATCATCAACTCAAACTTGAACGTAGTACACACTGTTCCACTTTACAATGAGCCGCATCGGACGCTACGAGCCGTCAGAGCCAATCCAACGCCTCGCGAGTGTCACCTGACCTTGAGGAGGGGCGCAGCAGCCCGTGGGGTGTCACACGAATGATGCGTTCACGGTGTTAGATTGGCTGGAATAGTTGTTCCGCTTTGGTCCATCGTATGCGGAGAAGTCTATGGCGGCTGCCTGAAGAGCCGCCCATAATCATCCCTAGGCTGTTGAATACATTCAACATGCCCGAGGCCATTCTAGATGTTTCCCGCGTATTTCACCTCTTATTTCCACAAACATGCGCGAGCTGTTTCGCGGAAATACGTAAAATGGTTGACTTCAGTACGCGGTGCACAAAGAAATACGCAGACCCCACGTATTTCGTGAAATACGGTATGTATACGTAGTTCATCTGAAACGTAGGCAGGCGCGACCATAGAGGGACTCGGCTTGTTTTGCGGCTCCCCATGGCGATAGGAATGCCCAGAATACGTGCCCCGGAGAAGTGTTTTGTTGGGCGCGCGCGCGTGTACACTTCCGTGGCACCGATCCAAAAGTAGCTGGCGGCATGGAACACGCGCGCGATCTTGACCTGCTTCGGGGAAGGAGCCCCCGCTATATGCTGCCCAGCTGCGCCGTGCAAAAAATAAATAAAAAAAAAGTAAAAATGATTGGGTATTTGCTTTTGTGTTGAGTAGCCTGAAAGGGAAACAGTGCGATCCGGGGAAAACGCAACGGTATGAATGAAGCTGCCTGCCCCAATAATATGTTTTGATCTGAACACTGAACGTGCCATTTGACATACGCCGTGTCCCAGCGCGAATCGTTTTTTTTTTTTTTTTTCCTTTCTCGACGGTTTAATATCTCATTTCAGATTTAACAAGATGTAACAATTTAAGACCGCTTTGTAATATTTGCGAGATTACAAAGGCTCTTTATTGGCGATACAGCGGCTTCGAAACGCTACTGAGACGTTTTATCGTTGTAAATAGTTTAGATAAGACCAAAAACCAAACGTTCTTTATATATATATATATATATATATATATATATATATATATATATATATATATATATATATAACAATAAAATAATAAAAAAAAATTGGTAGTTTTAGAGCACTGGTTATATTTTTCAACTCCAGCCTGAACCAATGCCGCCATGCTATGATACCTTAGGAATCCTAAAGACGCGGCCACACTGTTAATACCTGATGCAAAAAACAGCCTGCAGACACTGTCTGAGGTCTTTCTTATTTTGACGGTCGTGCTATATTGACCGTACAATAAGTGTCTTTTGACACGAGCGAAGCATGTATGAAGCAATCATGCTTTCGACGTGATTAAGACGTTCCCGCATATAATTCTGTCATCGTGCCTGCAACGATTTTATTTCATGTGCAAGCGGTGCGACTGGGGCTGAAAAGGTCCTTCAAACCTGGCATCCATAAGTCGAGTAGGAAACTATTCCCGACTCCAAGAGAGACGACGCTACCCAGCGGAGAAGACGTGATGGAAAGACGCGGGGCGCTATGCCGCTTATCCAAGTGTATGACGAAAACTACCGCGTCCTGGCGGTCGAAATGGGAAACAGAGGAAAGGGGATCAAATCTACGCGCCGTTGGAGTTGGAATCCTCTTCTACCTCGCAAGATGTGTGCGGCGCTCTCAAACCACGCGTAAAAGGGCGCACCGGGAAAGCGTTTTGTTTGCGTGAAACGTTCTACGGCATTTCCGAAGACAGATGGAGTGCGCACGGGCAGCTTTATTTGGCGCTCGAGAAGTGCGACGGCACGTGCTGCTGCGGTTGACCGCGTCAAGGCTGCTGCACACACACGCGACGGCTCACGACCGGAGAGGCTTAACTCCGCGCACTTTAAAAAGGCCCGTGCATCTACTTTCCTGCACAACACTCGAAGAGCCAATCACCGCAACGGGAGGCAGTTCAGCGAATGATGATGCCGCACTACATTCTTAGACCAAAAAAGGCAGTCGTGAGTTGTGACATTAAGCAATGCAAAACGTCACGCTCGCATTAATGTCACAACTCGGACTGCTTTCTTTGGTCTAAACATATGTTTCGGCATCGTCATTCGCTGAGCTGCCCCCGTAAGCTGCGGTGATTGGCTCTCCGAGCGCTGTGCGGGAAAGCAGACGCACGGGCTTTCTTTAGGGCGATGGCGGCTGAACCGCCTTCGCAAAGTAGTTACGAAAGCGGTTGCGTAAAGCAGCAGTACAAATTCACGCACATTTGATGATGAGAACAAGCGGGTCCGGTTCGCGGTTGCTGTTGGAAGGGCAATGTGAATGCTGCATATAAGCCGGATCTATAGTATAGTTGAATCCTTGTCAAACGCAAATGCGCGGCCTTGAAGAGGGTGAGCTTGCACTTTCGTCATATGACATCACTAAAGTTGTTTTCTTTGACGGGTGAGTATTTACGCAATATACGAAACAGCGCGCAAAACAACGAAGACGGGAGAGCCGCTCCCCATATTGAGCAACCATTTACTTTACTCGGTTTCACGATAACTTGGCGAACTGTGGAGGCTGCGGCCCGCGCGACCCAATCAGAGCCTCGGAGCAAGGCGCGTGACCACACTCCGTGGTCGAGGCCACGGAGGCCCCGTTACCGCCGCAGCAGCAGCGCCATCCGCGAGAAAAAAAAGTAGCTCTAGGCTTCTTTTTCTTTTAACTGCAATTGAACTCGCTCTATATATCGAGAATATATAAAACACAAGAAATAAATAATCACCGACTTTGAGTTTCAATTATATATAAACAGTGACGCCATATCCTTGTCCGATCCCGATTTTTTCGCCTTGTAGCGCCGAGGCCGTTGGCGGTCGGAGCCGTGTAATCGAACGCTTTCTTTCAAAACATCGCACTGGACCAATACCAC